AGGCGATGGCGGAGCGGACAGGCAGATCCCCCCTGCCGCGGGGCTGGGGCAGAGGGACGGGAAGAGCTGGGCTGAAGGCTGGGCTGCCCGTGACGCCCAGGTCCCCGGCTGCCTCCTGGGTCCCTCCAGACCACCCTCGTCCCCACAGGGAAGGGCAGAGGGGCCCGAGCTCCAACCCTACTGAGCTGAACAAGGAAATTACGTATATTTATGTATAAACACGTTTTAGTTACACCTTTAAAGGATGTCAAGGGCAGCTGTGGCACAGCCACACCAGCACCGTACACCAAACTGGAGCATCTGGAAGCAGCCGTGACTTGCAGCTCCCCCCTACCAGCTCAGCCACGCACGCCAACACCCCCTCCCCAAAAACCTGGGGGCTCGCAGCGCTGGTAGCAGAAGGACCAGCCCGGCAAAGCCCACCTCCCCTCGGCTCACCAACATCTCCCTCCTCAGCCCACCGGCACGGCCCCCCGCCAGCCCGCTCTCCCCGCTGAGACAGCTCTTGGACTTGCGGGCTCTACAAACAATTTTATTGAAATTTAACAAAAGTGGACAGATGCACTGGGAGGAAGGACCATAAATAGTGTACGTTTCCCAAACCCACGGGTCCTACCCCCACGCTAGAGGAGCGAGGAGCCCGGTGTCAGTACGGTTCGGCTACACATCCACATGGGAAAGCACAACGCCGCACGGAATCGTAACAAAAAAAAAGAACCGAAAGGAAAACTTTCCTTTTTTTGTTGGGTTTTTTTTTTTTTTTTTTGCTTGCTCCAACACCACAGTGGACACAGATACTATTTACAGCGACCTTCACATTTCTGAGACCCCCCCGGGCGCTCCCCAGGCCCTGCGGCCGCGGGAGGGGAGGGGGCCAGGGCTGGCTGCTGGGGACCAGCGCGGGGGCAGCGGGGCAGGACCCGGCTCGCTGGCAGCCTGCGGAGGGTCGCTGTCGCCCCGGAGACGCAGCGGGGGGGGGGGAGGAGTGCGGGTTTCCGCGGGGGAAAGCATGTTTGATG